GAATTATGCATTTCATATGTTTATTATGTTTTTGATATTAAAAATAATATTCTAAGCTCGGGACAATTACTTGAAAAGTGTTATGATATTGAAATGAAAGATATGGCTCTCTCAATTCGTGATAAGAATAAAACATTGATATCACATGTGAAAATGACAAAGAATAAAATGTTTCCTCTATATTTAAATATTTTTTATTAATCAAATTATTTTAAAATTGATATTAAGGATATTTCTACACTATGACATCTTAGATATGCTCACTTAAATTTCGAGACTTTGAAACTTCTAAAGAAGTATAATATAATGATAGGAATACCAAAAATTGATTGTCTATCAAAATTATGTGAAGTATGTGTCATGAGTAAGCAAGAAAGAAAGCCTTTCAAAGTTAGAAGAACAAAAAGAGCATGACATCTACTTGATCTGGTGCACTCAGATGTTTATGACCCTATCAATCCAATATCATTTGGAGGAAGCATGTATTTTCTTATATTCACTAATGATCATAGTGGCGAAACTTGGGTTTACATATTAAAAGAAAAAAAAGAAGTTTTAAGCATATTCAAAGAATTTAAGGATTTGGTTAAAAGACAAAGTTATTGTAAGAATAAATGTTTAAGAACAGATAGGGGTGGTGAATATATATCAAATGAATTTAAAAGTTTTTATAGAAATAATAGAATTCTACATCAATTCACCATGCCATACACACCTCAAAAAAATGATGTATCAGAAAGAAAAAAATAAGACTATCCTTAATATGGTCCGATGCATGTTAAAGAAATAAAAAATTCTTAAAGAATTTTGGGGAGATGCTGTTGCTTGTGCAGTTTATTTGCTTAACAGGTTAACAACAAAGTGAATTAGTAATATTACATCAAAAGAAGCATGGAGCTTACAAAAACTAAGAGTTGAACATTTGAGAATTTTTGGAAGTATTATTGCATTTACCAAGATACTAGAAGAAAAGAGAACAAAATTAGAAGGTAAAAGTCAGAAGTGCATTTTGCTAGATTATCCAGAGAATTCCAATGGTTATAAACTCTACAATCCTATCATAAATAAAGTTGTGATGTTAAGAGATGTTGAGTTTGATGAACAACAGATTTGAAACTGGAAAACTGATAAGCAGCATAAGAAAGCTATAGCTTCAAAAGAAGATATAATATAAGCAAGCACCGAAGTGGCTTTGCCAGAATCACCACCTAGATCAGCTAGGTCACATGATTCAAGAAGTCCAATTATAAGAAGGACAAGATCGATTCAGGAGCTATATGATGTGACTCGAAGGATTGATATTAACAATGATAAACTTTTTTTATTTTGTCTTTTTGCATGATATGATCCATTAACCTTCGAAGAAGCTTATAGATATGAAAAATGATGACAAGCTATGAATGAAGAGATTCATGTCATTAACAAAAATAATACATGGGAGCTTACTACACTTTTAGAAGACCACCAAGCTATTGGTGTTAAGTGGATCTTCAAAACAAAAATAAATACAAAAGGAGAGGTGGAGAAATAAAAAGCCAGATTGGTTGCAAAGGGATACAAACAATAATATACGATTAACTATGAAGAAGTATTTGCACCAATTACTCAACTGAAGATAGTAAGATTATTTATCTCTCTAGCAGTTCAAATAAAATGAAAAATTTCACAAATAGATGTCAAATCAGTATTTCTTAATAAAATTCTTGAAGAAGAGGTATATATTCAACAACCCCCTGGTTTTATTATTCAAGAAGACTAAGTATAAAAGTTAAAGGGAGCTCTTTATGGGCTTAAACTATTAAATCTCATATTTTGATAATGAAATATATTAATAGTATTTATCTGATCTACGTTTTGAGCGATGCAGGAAGCTTCGATCAAGAAGAGACAATTAAGGCAGGAAGAATCAAGTTGGACCGGAGTGGAACATGTAAGAAGATTGAACGTCTAGCTGGAGGATCGGTCGACGTATTGGCAGAAGGCTTTAGGCCATGGGTTTAGGCATTGGGCCAAGAAGAGCGAAAATTACGCTAAGGAAATCTGAGTTGCGGAGGTCAACTGATCGATTGGGTAATAAGCCACAAGAGAGGACGAGGCGTCGATGAACCAATGACATGTGAGACAACATTTGATTTAGCTTTGTAATAATTATCTAGATCGAAGTAAGTTTTAGGCGTTATTGGGTTGGAATTGGGCCAACTTAATTAGGGGTCAATTGGACTCAAGTTTGGGCTATGTTGGGCCAAGTGAAAAGCCCAAATAACGACCCAACAAGTGAAACCATCGATCGCACAGTCTCCGAGACTATGTTAAGTGGTGGTACTGCCAAACTGGGCAGTGGTACCGCCCAGACTCAATCTCTAAGACTGTTAGGTGGTGTTACCGCTAGACTGGGCGATGATACCACCCAGTGTTAGTGCTGCAGGCGATAGTACCGCCCAGTGTTAGTGCTGCAGGCGGTGGTATCGCCCAGCATAAGCGGTGATATCGCCAATACCCCGAAAATTGAGGAGACACTTTTAGGCTCCAAGTTTGAATCCACTTGAGGCCTATAAATATCCCTCTCATTCTTAGTTAACATACACAAGCACAAAGAACTTAAAAGTGGGAAAACACTGTAGCAATTACTTGAGAGATCCCCTCCTCTAGTTCTAAAAGTTTAGAATTATGTTTCTAGAGGAGTGAGTGCTTGTAAAAAGTTGTCTCCTAAACCTGTGAAAATGATAAGAAGGGTGTAAAAGGGTAGTTGATCTTCGCTTGTTGAAAGAAGATCGTTAGTGGATGCCAATAGTCTCGACGGAAAAAGAATCGGGAGTAGATGTAGGTCACGATGACTGAATCACTATAAAACTCGGTTTGTATTTACTTTTTGTAATTTACCTTTACTGTAAATCGCCTTACTTGTTTTACTTTCTCATTACACTCTTCCATACGTTTTTAAGTTAAACTCACATTTTCGATATGAGCTTTTATCGAACAAAAGATTTTTGAACCGATGTCGTTTTTATCCGCTGCACTAATTCACCCTCTTAGTGCCGACTCGATCCTAATACTTGAAATCAGAGCCACATTTTTCTCATTTAGTTTAACACTCAAGAGAAATAGCTATTTTCGATTTTCAAGAGGGTTACTCTATCATTCGTCCTCCTATGTTCAATGGGATGGACTACACATATTGAAAAACTCGAATGAGAGTGTTTTTGATTTTTTTAGATTTCAATATA